ACACATGTAAGTCGCACGAGTAACAAGTGTCATACTAAAATATATCATAATATATGTTTTTTTCTTATAAAAAGTATTTAAATTTCAACAATTTTTTTTTTTATTTAATTTTAAATTTTACTAAAAAAATTTAGCAAGCACTCGTGTAATACACGGGTCTTGCACTAGTTAAATTTAGAAGTGGAAAAATAGATCTTATCGTTTATTGTAATATGTGTTTTACTTGGAGCTTATTATATGCTATCATCGGATAAAGTAAATGTACCAAAAAAAAAAAAAAAAAAAATTATTGATTTATGTTTTTAGTTATTTATTTATTCTTTATTGGCTTAACTTTGATATTAGTATACGTGAAGTGATAATTTGATAATTTTTCTTTTCAAATCATTTGAAAAAAATCCGAAAATGGGTCCCTCCGTGTCTCATCTATGGCTGCGAACGAGTCGAGTGACTTGCGAGCGTTCGAGTCAAAGCTCGAGTTTGATCGAACTCGAGTCGAGCTCGAGCGCATATTTTGCCTTGTCGAGCGACTCGTGATACACGTTAAATTACTAAAATACTCTTTATTATATATATTAGCATAGGTGTTTAATGGTACCTTTCCACTTAAATTTTTTTTAATCGAACTCGAGTCGAATTCGAGCATTTTGATTTCGAGTCGAGCTCGAGCTATTGTAATTTTTATCAAGTCGAGCTCGAGCAGCTAATAAAAATACTTAATCTTGCTCGATAAGGCTAATACTCGACTCGGCTCGATTAGTTTATAGTCGTAGTCTCATCCAAGAAATTCAAGCCATGCAACTGTTTTGAACTCTTAAGGAAATTGAAAAAATTAAAATTCTTCGTGTCTCGCAAGCCCAAGTTCCTTCTTGGCCCTTTCATGGTGTACTCTTTTTGTATCTTGTGGGCTTCTCTTAATAGCCCATTTAGTATTATTTTTTAATAGATGGAAATGTCTGTGAATTCTACCTTTCACTTTTTAGTACTTGTAAGTTCGTTTTATTTTCTTTTTTTTTTCCCCTTTTTCCTTTTTCGCTATACTCTATTTAATTCATAATAAGTATCGTTTTGAGAAGTTGCACAATAATTAAGAATATATTTTTTATCAATAATAACCTCCATTAATGAAGATAGAGATAGATGTGTTGAGCAAAGATGAATAGTGAATATGAAAAGACGTAGTGTATTTATTAGCTAAACGAGAGTAATAATAGAAAAATATGTTCAAAATATTCAAAACGTCATTTATTTGGTTAATAGTTGATAAAACAAAATGACATTAAAAAGGAATAGGAGGTAGTATTATGTTTTTAGTTACAAGTGAAAATCTGGGCTTTCGTACCTTATTGCAGTTTTTAAAATTTTATTTTAACAATTTATTAGCTCGAGAAAAGTTTATATTAATATAAATAATATTTTAACTGTTGAGTCAAAATGGGCAATTAAGCCCACTTTCTTTGAAGCTGCCAAGGAAGAAAATAAAAGAAAAGGCAACATCACACATGTGTGGAAAAATGAAGCTTTCTTTTGGGGAAAATTTACAGCACAACTTTGTTGAAAAAGGGGTTCACTTTTCTTCTATAAATAGAGGAAACTTGATGAATGTAAAACACAACAACAAAAATATAACAATACAGAGAGAGAGAGAGAAAAAGAGTAGAGAGAGTGTATTCATACGGGCCTGTGTGAGTTGTAACATTCGGTTTATCCTCTTCTTGTAGTTCATTCTCCTAACTTGATTCGCCCCCACACGTAGGATTTCATCCGAACTGGGTTAACAAATTTTCGTGTCTTTTATTAATTTCACATTGGTGTATTGTTATTATTATTCCATCTTATCCGACCTTATTTCCCAACAACTGGTATCAGAGCCAGGAGGTTGGAGATAAGATGGAGGGAAAGATTCCAGTCGAACGGTTCAATGGTTCCGACTTTGGATTCTGGCGAATGCAAATGGAGGCTTACCTGTGCGGGAAGGACCTCTACGCACCTCTTGGGGAAAAGCCCGAGAAGATGAGCGATGATGAATGGAAGGTGCTCGATCGGAAGGCGATGAGCGCTATTAATTCTTTCGCTCTCTCGGAACGTCGCCTACCATGTGAAGGGAGCAAAAAGCACGAAAGAGGTCTTGCAGACACTCGCCGACATGTATGAAAAACCATCAGCAATAAACAAGGTGATGCTGATGAAAAAGCTGTTCAAATTGCAAATGGAGGAGCGAAAGTCAGTGGCCGATCATCTCAACGATTTCAACCAACTCACGACGCAGTTGGCATCGGTGGATATTTCGTTTGATGATGAGGTAAAAGCCCTAATCTTGCTCTCATCATTGCCGGACAGTTGGGACGTGGTTGTTACTTCGGTGAGCACTTCTTCTGGCAAGGAGAAGATGAAGTTCGACAACATAAGAGATATGATGTTGAACGAGGAGACCCGCAGAAATCAGGCGGGTGGGTCGTCTGGCTCAGCCCTACATACAGAGTCCAAAGGGAGACCTGAAACACGAGGAAAAATCCGTGGGAGGTCAAAATCCAGGGGGAGGAATAAAGGCAAGAAAGAAATGGTGTGTTGGAACTGCAAGAAGCTTGGGCATATGAAAAGCGAATGCTGGGCACCGAAGAAGGACAAAGAGGCCGGACAGCCAATGCCGCGACGGGGTACACGGCAGATGCACTCTTGTTGAGTGTGAAAAGCTCGCTCGATGACTGGATCGTGGACTCAGGGGCCTCATTTCACTCTTGCAGTAGCAGAGACATCATGGAGCCATACACCGCAGGTGATTTTGGCGTGGTATATCTTGCAGACAACAAATCCCTAAAAATTGTAGGGAAGGGAGATGTGCAGATCAAGTCCGCAATGGGTCGTGCTGGACCCTACGGGATGTGAGGCACATTCCAGGACTGAAGAGGAATCTCATCTCAGTTGGACAACTGGACAATGACGGCTTCCACACAATGTTTGGAGACGGAAAGTGGAAGGTCAGCCGAGGAGCTATGACTTTGGCAAGAGGGTTGAAGTCAGGAACGCTTTACACGGCGAGTGGATCCAGCTCAAACATTCTCCTGGCAGGAGTTGTCTCACAATCGCACTTGTGGCACAGTCGCTTGGGCCACATGAGCGAGAAAGGAATGAAGGTACTAAAGTCGAGAGGACTTTTGCCCGAGTTGGAGTCAGTGGATGTGGGTCTCTGCGAGCAATGCGTGCTTGGAAAGCAGAAACAAGTGAGCTTCACGACCACCGGGAGAGCTCCAAAGACCAAAAAATTAGAGCTCGTGCACACTGACTTATGGGGGCCAGCACCGGTGACATCTCTTGGAGGATCGATGTACTACATGATGTTCGTCGATGACTGCACAAGAAAGGTATGGGTATACTTTTTGAAAAGAAAATCCGACGCCTTTAATACTTTCAGAAGATGGAGAGCACTCGTGGAGAAAGAGACAGGTCTAGAAGTGAAATGTCTCAGATCCGACAACAGTGGCGAGTACAACAGTGAAGCCATCAAGGAATACTGCGCTGATCATGGGATCCGAATGCAGAAGACGGTCCCAGGAACACCTCAGCAAAATGGCATTGCGGAGAGGATGAACAGGACACTGAATGAGCGTGCGAGATGCATGCGATTGAAGAGTGGACTGCCCAAGATGTTTTGGGCAGAAGCAGTCAGCACGGCCGCTTTCTTGATCAACTGAGGGCCTTCTGTCCCACTGAACAACAAAATTCCAGAAGAGGTCTGGAATGGTAAGGAAGTTGATCTCTCTTTCTTACGTACCTTTGGTTGTTTGGCTTACGTTTTGAACGACGACCGGACAAAGCTGGATGCTAAGACCGTCAAATGTACATTCATTGGATATGGGACTGACGAATTTGGGTATAGATTTTGGGATGATCAAAATCGGAAAATTATTCGCAGTCGTAATGTGGTGTTCAATGAAGGCATAATGTACAAGGACCGAAAGGAATACTCGGACGATGACAAGACCATGCAGGAGTATGTTGGTCTCGATATTTCAAATACCAGAATCATGAGACCAGCAGATTCAGTGGGAGCTCAGATAGATGAGATCGAGCGTACAGAAGAAGAGGCAGAACCAAAATCGGATGAACCGATTGCTAAGAGCATCACGCCTCTGGCACTGGGTCGAGAACCGAGGATGAGAAGGGCCCCGGATAGGTACTCCCCTTCTCTTTATTACCTACTTTTATCTGATTTTGGAGAACCCGACTGTTATGAAGAGGCAGTTAAAGATGCCCACAAGAGCAAATGGGAGCTTGCGATGGACGACGAGATGAACTCGTTGAAGAAGAACCACACATGGGATTTGTGTGATCTCCCAAAAGGAAAGAAGGCTCTTCAAAACAGATGAGTCTATCGGGTCAAGGAGGAATCAGATGGGACGGAGCGATACAAGGCCAGACTTGTAGTAAAGGGATTCCAACAGAGATACGATATTGACTTTACCGATGTTTTTACACTTGTTGTTAAGTTAACCACTATTCGTCTAGTGTTAAGCATGGTAGCGGCGGAAAATTTGGAGTTGCAACAGTTAGATGTGAAGACGACCTTTCTGCATGGGGATCTCGAGGAAGAAATTAACATGGTGCAGCCAAAGGGGTATAAAGGAAATGATCAGCAAGTCTGCCGCCTAAAGAAGAGCTTGTACGGACTGAAACAGGCTCCTCGACAGTGGTATCGAAAATTTGATAATTTCATGCTGGAGATTGGATACTTCAGGTGTAATGCTGATCATTGTTGCTATGTGAAAAGGTTCGGTAACTCTTTCATTATTTTACTGCTATATGTGGATGACATGCTGATAGCAGGATCAGATGTCAAGGAGATCGAGAGGCTCAAAGATCAGCTATCAAGGAGATTTGATATGAAGGATCTAGGAGAAGCGAGACAGATATTGGGCATGAAAATCACGAGGGACAGAAATGCTGGTAAACTTTGGCTTTCTCAATCTGATTCTATTGAGAAGGTGTTGTGCAGATTCAAAATGGATATTGCAAAGCCGGTTGGAGTGCCACTGGGAAGCCAGTTCAGGTTGTCCAACAAGGATTCGCCCAAGGATGACTCTGAAAAGGAAAGGATGAGAATTACGACATATGCTTCAGCCATCGGGAGCCTAATGTACGCTACAGCCATCGGGAGCCTAATGTACGCTATGGTCTGCACCCAGCCAGACATAGCACATGCAGTGGGAGTAGTCAGCCGGTTCATGAGCAATCCTGGAGTGATGCACTGGGAGGCGGTAAAGTGGATCCTTAGGTACCTGAGGGGCACTAAGGACCAGGCATTGGTATTTGGCAGGGGTACCCTTACCCTGTCTGGGTTTGTCGATGCTGATTTTGCAGGAAGTGATCTTGACAAGAGAAGAAGTACTACGGGGTACGTGTTCACTTACGGCGGAACGACCGTATCCTGGATCTCAAAGCTGCAGAAGATAGTTACATTGTCCACAACGGAAGCTAAGTACGTGGCAGTGACGGAGGCAGCCAAGGAGCTCGTTTGGCTGCAAAACTTCCTGAATGAACTTGGGAGACCTCAAGAGGATGTGGCTCTATAGAGGGATAGCCATAGTGCAATCCATCTGGCAAAGAATCCCGCGTTTCACTCGCGAACGAAGCACATCGAGGTTAAGTATCATTCCATCCGACAACTTCTAGAGAAGAAGATGCTGCAGCTGAAAAAGGTTCAGGGAGATAGGAATCCTGCAGACATGTTGACTAAGGCAGTAACTTTGGAAAAGTTGAAGCTGTGTGTAGCTTCGACCGGCCTTGATGATTAAAACAGACAGACCCAGCAGAACCAGGAGTAGAGATGAACATGTTGATCGATGAGGTGTGAGGACAGATTGAAATCAGTCCTCAAGTGGGAGATTGTTGAGTCAAAATGGGCAATTAAGCCCACTTTCTTTGAAGCTGCCAAGGAAGAAAATAAAAGAAAAGGCAGCATCACACATGTGTGGAAAAATGAAGCTTTCTTTTGTGGAAAATTTACAGCACAACTTTGTTGAAAAAAGGGGTTCACTTTTCTTCTATAAATAGAGGAAACTTGATGAATGTAAAACACAACAACAAAAATATAACAATACAGAGAGAGAGAGAAAGAGTAGAGAGAGTGTATTCATACGGGCTTGTGTGAGTTGTAACATTCGGTTTATCCTCTTCTTCTAGTTCATTCTCCTAACTTGGTTCGCCTCCAGACGTAGAATTTAATCCGAACTGGGTAACAAATCTTCGTGTCTTTTATTAATTTCACATTGGTGTATTGTTACTATTATTCCATCTTATCCGACCTTATTTCCCAACATTAACATATATATATATATATATATATATATATATATTTTTTAATACAACAAAAATAATACTTTTACATATTTTGGTTCATCATAATACTCAGATATTATTTTATGAAATTCATAAATTTATTGTCGTATAATGTCATTATTATTTATAACACTTATAGAAGTAATATTCTTTTTTATATAATGATAAATATTTAATTTATATTAATATTATTTATTGATGTAATTAATTTAAAACTATATAAGCAAATTTAAGATTTGTAAGGAATGTGATTATATGTAAGATAAGATAAAATAGAATGTGTTCCAAAAAATTTGCTTATGATATTTTCCTTTACATATTTGAATGAATTTGAAACTCAAATTACAAATCAACCGCCAGTTTCTCAAATAATTTTAAAAAAAAATTACCAATTTTATTAAAATCCAAAATTTTAGGTGGGATTTTACTTTCTACTTAAAGCAAATCACTATCACTATTACTATTATACAATAATAGATATTCATTCAGGAAATTACAAAAAATCTTATATATAACTTTAATCTATCATCAACATTTGATTCTCATAAAATTATTAGGAAATAAAACTCATGTAAAACAGATACATATATTGAATTTTCTATAAAATCACTTCAACATTATACTTACAATTTAAATAAATGATTTTAAAGATATCACCTTTTATCTTAATAGCACAGTTTTTGGCTAAAGAAATGGTCACTCCCAGTGCATTATTTTTGTAATTGCGGGACAAACAATTGTATGATTTGTTTGTTTGCAAACACTTTTTAATGCTAGCCTTTATCGATATGTATCGAGGAAGGTCCACTTTGCGACCTCCACCTTGGTCATGATATGAATTGTAAATTCATGTTCTTATGATAGAAAAGTGAACAAACTTCGAACTTATTATTACACGTAGTAGTGGACATGTCCTAAATAATAAAATCAAAACCCTTCTTTAAGGAGCCCCATCACCTAACATACAATAATTTTCAAGACCAAAAGTTGCACCATATCACTAGTGTAACTAGAATTGTTAAGCGAAACGAATCGCTCGTAAGCTTGGTTCGAATTTAGCTCCGCTCGTTTGATAAATAAACCAACTCAAACTCGTTGAAAGCTTGTTCAAGCCGACCTCAGATCGACTCGTTAAAGTTTGAAAATAAGATTTTTTATATAATTTTGTAGTTGGGCTTATTAAGGCTCGAACTTGACCCATTAATACTGATAAACGAGCCAAGATCTAGCTTGTTTAGTTTGCTAAGCGCGAGTACCATAAGTTGGGCTCGACTCAGCTCTCCTCATTTATACCTATAAATCTAACAACCTGTCATGCTTGCTAAGAGACATGCACATGGCATTTGCTAGCATTGTTTGCTAATACAACCAAAGGATACACATAATACTCTTAGACATGGCCAAATCTAGTTTCGGGTCAGAACCGTCTGTTCTGGGATCAGGGGTTGGCCGACCCCAAACCTGCCCGAACATATGCACGGGCCGGTTTGGTGAACCAGCCGTTTCGGGCCGGGCCAGTTCATTAAAAGAAGTAAAAAATAATAAAGAAAATTAAAAACAAAAATATGAAAAAGGGGTAGAACTGCCAGTTCCAACTGGAAACGGCCCGGCAGTTCAAAAGTTCATATATAAGGCCGGAATTGGCCCGGTCAAACCACGATTCAAGGCCCGTTGGGCCAATTCAAGGCCGATTTTGGACCGGTTCGACCCGTGGTTATGTCTAGGTCGGTGATTATGGTTGGTTGTTGGAGTATCACTTGTGAGTTGTCCCACATTGATTCTATAGGGAAAATCTAGTATATAAGCCAAGTGGGCTACTCCTCCCATCACCAATTGGTTTTGGGATGGAACTTCACTATGGTGCACTTAGACTCACCCTCTTATGGTGCGCCTAATATGCGTGGGACCGCACTCTCTTGCCCCAATTCTCTATTCTTACATGGTATCAGAGCCAGGCCGACTCCTGCCTGGGTTTCTATCTCTACCCGGCCAACTCCGGCCAGCCCTGCTCTGGGCTTGGGCTTATGAAGGACTCACAAGTGAGGGGGCGTGTTGGAGTATCACTTGTGAGTTGTCTCACATTGATTCTATAGGGAAAATGAGTTTAGTATATAAGCCAAGTGGGCTACTCCTTCCATCACCAATTAGTTTTGGGATGGAACTTCACTATGGTGCACCTAGGCTCACCCTCTTATGGTGCGCTTAATATGCGTGAGACCGCACTCTTTTGCCCCGATTCTCTATTCTTACATTGGTGTTACTATTACGTGCTTTGTTTATTCTTTTGTGGCTTTATCTTGATGTTAGAAAGTCTATGGGGTTCAAAAGGCTGAGATATATCTAGAAGATTATTCCTCACCGTCATACTTGTGGTTACCATAATTCTCAAGTCCATTTATTTCATAGTTCTGAAGTTGTATGGTCTCTAGTAGTTTTCCCATCCATTATGAACCAAAGTGGTTTTTGCCTTTTAACTATGGCCATTTTATGTGGGATATGTGGGACGACATGAAACCAACTGTTCCTTTCAACTTTGCATATTCCATTTGGTTTCCATTTTAAGGAGATGGTGTCTTTTTTAGCAACTAATAATTGGAACTTGAAAGGATAATTTATTTTAATTCAGCATAATGAAGTGCCTTCTTTGGATAATTATATAATTATTATTTTTTATATCTTTATTTGGATAATTATTTAGTTAAATTTTTTAATGAGAAGTGCGTATAGTTTTTAATATTTTTAGTAAAGGACATGTTTCATTTTTTATATTTACTTTTTAGATTTGATTTCGTATTTCATTCATAACTTGCTCGTTTTGCATTTAACTAGTTCAATCTTATGAACATGTATAGATGCAAAAAAAAACAAAAAAAAAA